AAATAACTGTGTGAAATTAGCCATTTATAGCCTGAATGACTAATTCGGACAGACAGTAATTCCTGCCTCAAAAAACGACGAAATTTCGTCTCTTTATTTTCAGATATAAGTATATAATAAAGTTTCGGCTCTTCCCTCATCAAGAACTTTAAAGATTCGTATTATATTGCGAAATTCTGAAAAAAATGAAGTGTTAAAACTTTATAGAGACCAAAATTCAATTACAGGTTTCGATTTCGTTAAATTGCTTTGATCACACGGAATCCTATATGTAACGGAAAAAGATGTTTCACCTCCGTTATTATCTCGCACGCGTGGAAATGACTCTTTTTCACAAAGCGCTCGCGGACTTTGCGCCAACCTTCAGAATCACTTTGTAACAGGCGGCCTTGTTATTTTCCTTTCCGCGAGGCTGCAACCGTTACAATACAGTTTGCCGTGTACTCGGGGCACGGAAGACAGAAGACACGAGACAAGATAAACGCGTGAGGGAGCAGGAAGCCTTCTGAAAAGTTTCCAACCGCGCCCGTGCGCGCTCGTTCACCGCTCCGCAAATATCAAATGATCACCGTTATATCATTTCTACTTCTCCGTTTTACGCCACGGTCGCTTTCCAGGATCGATATTATCTCCACCATTACCCTCCGTCTTGTTCACGTAGTTATCTTTCGTCGCTTAATTGCAAAGACAGGGTGGGGAAATGCGACAAAGAGGACCCACGATCGTGGTAGTGGTGTGGCGAAGTTTCTCTCGAATGTAAATGTAAATGCAGTCATTGGCAGTTGCGCGATGGAAATCGTGACAAATTAAAGCGAGCGGGAACTGACTAACCGAGTATCCCCTTTCGGTCTGTTGCACAGACAGAATCGTGATTCGGAGAAGGATACGGCGAATCGAAAACGTGCTTAGTTGATCTGAGCTAGTCTCGTGCACACAAACTCACTTTAACTAAATTGCACTAAATACGGACATGTTATAAGTGTATCCCGGCTCTCAAATCGTAATTATTGTTATGTGAAAACTACATCATGTTGTTAATATAGCATAAAGCCGTCCGCCGCAATGCGTACTTCGTGGAATGCGATATATTCCCTAGGGAACCGTGTGCTGTCTGTAATATTTAGATTCCGCGGTGTAAAAGGTTACGTGCGAGTGCCTTAACTTCGCTCCCTCGTAACCTGATTATGTCACTTCGAATAATTTCGCCGCGTCCGAGCTCTCACGTGTCTGATAAAGCGTGATAAACCCTGAAAACGGAGCAGTCTGGCCATTCTTGCCGCTTCCACTGTGCCTTACGGCCAACCATGAATCACCCGCTTTTACTTTCGGTAACTTACTTACGTGAACTCGGCGCGCGTGGACTACGCTGATGGCGTGGATTGCATTAATTTAACGATAAAGCCATTTTTTGGTAAATTATATTGTGGAAAATACTTTTTTACATGCATCGATTAGTCGCACATTGTTAAAATTAATATTAACAAATAAGTACTTTTATATTAATTAATTGTTTCGCATGCTTTCACGGAATAAATTATATTCAATCGTTTAAGGAAAAATTAACTGACTGCTTTTTTGTACTTTGAGATAATTTTCGTATGGCGTACAAGTATCGATCAAGTATCGATAGTGCAATTATGGAAATCCCTTTACACGCAAATGTGCACGCTCGCTCCAGCCGAGGTAACCGTTTTAACGGCAATGTACGGATGTACTGTAGAATAATGTAGATAACAGATTGGTAAAAGCAATACGCGAATTCAATCGTCGATTTTGTCCCATGTAAATTCATTGGATTACTATGCGATATACACCACGTATGAATGTGATTATGAGTGAGCTAATAAAATTGCAATTTGCACGATACGTCCAATTTTACGAGCACGCAATAAGACTGCGTCGGGGAAAGAAGCGTATTTCATTTGCGTTCAAGCATCAAAAAACTTACAAGTATACCTTCGCAATAAAGCAGAGTATTTGAAAGTATAAGAAGCTTGAAAGCAAGCGTTGCTCGGTTTTTCAAGAAATTCCTGGATAATAATTTTAACATTATCTATACGTACAACAACTTTTTCTTTATCTGTCGGCAAATAACACTGACTGGTATCCTTTATATTAAATAATGCAGATAATATAATATCGCAGTTATTATATCATATATCGCACCAGTCACCCAGTGACTAATTTCATTAAATATCAAGACGCTATTAGAATCAAGACGTGTCAGTACAATGGGAAATAATAATTTATCCACGGGGACGTAAATCAATCCTCGCAAGAATGGCTGCATTTAGCAGGGAAAAATTGAATAGCATCCGCGTAACAATCGAACCTGATTCAGTGGAAATCCAGAGGTATATATCAATCACCACATCCAATTGCCACTCAACTGCTGTCCCTGCTGAATGCGTCCAATGTGACATATCAGTTCTGTTTCCCCATTCATTTAATCTGGAAATGGGTCGAATATGCCCGCTCATGTAATTTTACGAGTATATAGATGTATGCACTGCGCTATTCTATACACGTTAAGCGCAGTAATGGAATTTATTTAATAAATGAAAAATAGGACTGCAAAATTATAAAACGCGGAATTTTCCCATTGGACATTAATGATGTAGCAGAGATCTTTTTACGTTCCCTTTGTGAGATCGCACATTCTATTTCACGCGAGGAAAGACATATTTCTAGACGGCAAAATTACGTGCTTCGGCCCGTGTATACTCCCATAAATACCTAATATCGCGGTACGTAGCTTGTTCACTTCCGCTAACGATTCCCGCCCTCGTCCCTTCTGCGGAACCGAAGCACCTCGAACTACATCCTTCAGCGTCTCGGTATCTGTAGGAAAGGTCTCGTTAGTATCGCCCGCCGTCTTTGTATCGCACGTACGTAACTCACGAGTCGATACTCCAGTGGCCCAGGAATTTCGGAATTTCGTGATCCAGCGCGAGCCTGCATATTTCATTGCGGCCGTGAGTGCACAACGTATCGCTAAAATATTACCTACTAAACGTCCCTCGCGAGGAAGAATGGCGAGCAGCATCTTACAAAGGAAAATAAACAAGGCGGTAAAGAAATATAAAATATTGAGTGTTGATCCAATTAAAAGTTCAATTACACCGCTTTAATTAATTATCAAATTTTGGGGTGTTCTTTATGTGGCTTAAACTCAATCAGACACCTTTTTTAAAGTATCGTGCATCTTAGGGCCAGTAAATGGACAGTGAATGGGCTAGCGCATAAATAATTGCGAAAGCGATACCGTTCCCGGTAAATCGTTTTATGCGTTTAAATGCATAATATCCGAGATGAGCGCGCCATGTAGAATGCAGCGACGTGTGCGAACATTCAAAGATTCGCCAGTGCTAATTAAGATTAATGAGTTGTCCAAGAAATCGAGACCAAGTCCCCGCGCGGTAATTAACAGTCTATTTCACCTCCTTCCTATAGACAGTTTGCCCGAACTATACTCGCACGAAAACGTTCTGAAAGTTTCTCTCCCCTTTCAGCCTCATCCTCGACGCATCATCTCAGGGCGAGGCACTTATTACGGAAAGAGTCTTCTCCCGTTTCTCTTCCTCCTCCGCCTTACTTCTCTACTCGCCTCCTCGCTTACATCTTTCTAACTCGAACGCTTCTATTTGCGAGACGTTGTTCAAAACCAGAGTTATAATATGTGCATATTGTCGTTATTGCAGATTTTAGATCTGCTCAAAAGAAGAAAATCCCTTGCTTTGATACCGGAGGATCCGATACCATTATCAGTTTTTATGTTATACGATTAAGAACTGGAAAAGATTTTTAATAATAATATATTGTTTTTTTACTTCGTTTTACCCCGTTATATCTATTTAACGGTAATATAAATTATAAATTTATTTTAATATTATCATCTACATGCATGCATACTAAAATAAGCGTAAACATCTAGTTATAAAATGTAAATTATAATAAATTGGAAAAGTTGCGTCACAATCATCATACAATATTTTAATAGTATAATCTGTGGAAATTAATTAAAAATGAAAAATTTATTATACATATAATTTTACTATGAAAATTCAAAAATGTCGAAATTGCAATTGTTTTCGAATTATAAGCAATTAAAGTTAATCAATAGCATCGCATAGAACTTGCGCACTTTAAGCTAACTGATTCATTATTGACTTTTATAATTCAGATAATATTGATTTTTGCTGCTTAACTAATTTTATCGTTTAATGTAGATATTGCACACACCATATTAATCAATTGATAAGTCAATTACTAACACAGTAATTATTACATGTAAATTATTTAATCTTGCTTTTAATAAAGATTGTTTCTTCGAGCAGAATTAATCGTTATTTGGCAACGTTGAATTCATAAAATAAAACAAAACATATGCGATAGTAATCCGCTTTTCGAAATTAATTTGAGTTACAAGAAACGGAATATATTTGGAAAGTGCATATTCATTTTATATTATACTAACAATAAATATTTCGTAATTGCAACGAGCTAATTGATACATGACGATACGCAATATCACTGATCAACTTTAATTGCTTATAACTCGAAAACTATTGCAATTTCAACATTTTTATTCAAAAATATTCAAAAATTTTTCTTTGCTTTAATTAAATACAATTTTTTCAAATTATATACTGTTAAAATGTTGTACAGTGGTTGTCGGACCCTGTATGTTTTCTACATAACAGAACATACAGGGTAGAAATTTCTTTTACATAACTATCTATTTGTAGGCAATTTCAGAGCTCGGAGCTCGTTGTACGAAATTTGCATACGTTTACTTAAGTCAGACGCTACACATTATTCATTTTTCTCCCTTTGTCTACTTATCGTTTAAACCGCAAAGAGTAATTTTTTTTTAACCGCAGCGAAGAAAAGTATAAATTAGCCGGTCGATAAAATACGTGCTTCTGACCGTCGAAACTTTTAACCGCATTGCTCGCATGTCGCATGCACCCACGCAGATAATTAGTTTACCTCTTCTAAGCTAGCAGGACCAAATCGGCAGAATCAAACCGGACCTATCAGAATATTTAGTACCCATTTTGTACTAATTTGTACCACTAATAACAATTTTGTATCCCGTGCCATTTCGGAGAAAATCGTGGCGGTGCTACCTTAGCATTAAGCTAGAAAGACCACAAGAAAAAAAAAAAAAAAAAAGAAAATTAAATACAGAAATTTGAAGGACTGAATTTGTACTAATTTGTACCATACAAATACATATAATACTAACTAATAATAACAAACTTAATACATATATTTATCCCTTCTGCTAAAAAAATAACTCACCGGCCGATGCGCAACAGCGGAGTTGTAATTCTGCGTTGATCTGTAACAAAAGAAATATTTTTATATTAAAGCTACGTCCAAGATAATCGACAGTAAATAATTATTGCCCGTTTTTAAAGCGTCATTTTAATAAATATCTGATTTTAAAATGTAAAAAACAATCGCGGCCGCCGGCGCCGCAATAAGCGACTGGATATTTCCGTGTTAACTAGTTCGCATAATTCATCCGCGAAAAATTGTACAAATAATACTGCGACCGTGCGAATAAGAGAGAGACGCGACGTTCGCGACGTAATATCTCTCATACGCCGGAGATCAGACTCGACCCGAAATTGCACCGTAGTTAAAAACCACGAAAGTGGCGGAGTCCACCACAGAACTGACAGGACGGCAAAATATAATTTATAAGAAAATTAACAACTACTCACCCCACGGTCGCTCCGCCGTCGCCCGATGCCTCCCAGGCCCCGTTCTCCTCTCCTCGATCGTCCTCCGTTACTCCGTTGGTCCTTGGTCCATTGTCGCACTCATTCACAACGCGACGACGTTCACGAGCGAAAATCGACGATATCGACTCCTCTTATGATCGCGCGACACTAAAGGCACACGGCACTCCCGGTATTAATCTCGCGACGCGGTAACTAAGAAACTTAGTTACACGGCGACAGAAGAATTACGTCGCGGTCGAAGAAACTACGAACGAAACTATACGATCCGCTTGACCCCCATGACGCCATGACGCCGCACCGTGACATTCCGCGATTCCCGCGCGCAGGTAGACACGACAAGTGAAGCGAAGGTGGCGGAGAGAATTTCGTAAATCGCGCACGGCTAACTTCACTCGCCCGGAGCAACTGTCTCGAGAACGCGATTACGCGATTACGCGATTACGCGACTTTGATTAACTACGGATTATCCGAAAAAATGTAATCGAATGCGATATACCTCGGTATCCGTATAAATTCCTCGAAGCACATGAATTAAATGAACTTTCGATATATGTATCACAGTTTTTCGCAAGCTAAACAATCGGACCCGGCGACTCGTGTATTTACTCCGCGATATATGCGATATGGGAGCTGGAGCCTGGAGCGGGAGCGAGAGTAACGACACGTCTGACGTCAGAACAGGTCACGGGCGTCGCGGTAAACATGAGTAGTGGGGATAGAGTAGGGGTAAGGTGAATACACACTACACACTACACACGGTGCGCGGTCGGTTAGTTCGGTATGCCGGGTATGGCGTATCGCATAAAGCCTACCCCTCTCTATCCCCACTGCTCATGTTACCAAGGCTCCCGCGGCCCGTTCTGATTTCTGATGTCGTTGCTCGCGGATCGCACATCGCAGAGTAATATAAGTACGAATCGCCAGGTCCGATTATTCAGATTACAGAAAAATGTGATACATCAATGTTCATTTAAGGCCGATTCTAATACAATCAGTTGTATGTCGCCTATGTCGGATGGCCCAATGAGAGAATTTCTTTTTCGATAACGAATTTTTCTCATTGGACCATCGGTTACGTTCCGAAAGCAATCAAAGCGAACGCAGCCTATAATAAGTGTAATGAAGTACGCGCCGCGTCCGTGCCGTGAGATTAATACCGGGGAGTGCCGTGCCTTTTTAGTGTCGCGCGATCATAAGAGACGATGTCGTCGATTTTCGCTCGTGAACGTCGTCTCCATGTTATCGTCTATCTGCGGGACAATGGACATCGCGGCACGGGCCGACGTGGGCCAACGGGTGTCGAGCGGATCATACAGCTTCGTTCGCAGCTTCTTCGTCGTAATTTTTCCGTTGCCGCGTCGCGAGATTGATGCCGGGAGTGCCGTGCCTTTAGTGTCGCGCGATCATAAGCGACGATATCGGTCGATTTTCGTGAACGTCGCGAGTGAAGTGACGCGACGCCACGGTTGCTTTTGGCGGGTGAAGTTGGCCGTGCCGGCCGTGCGATTTACGAAATTTCGCCATGTTCGTCTACCTGCGGGAGATCGCGGCACGGGCCGACGGACATGGCGTCGAGCGGATCATACAGCTTCTCCGCCGTAATTTTTCCGTTGCGTCGCGAGATTAATGCCGGAAGTGTCGTGCAAAGTGTCGAAAATATCGCGCGATCATAAGCGACGCGATCTTATCGTCGATTTTCGTGAACGTCGTCAGTGAGTAGTGAGTGCGCCAACCGGCCAACGGACCAACGCTGCAACGGAGTAGGACCTGGCGAATCGTGGAGAGGAGGAGGCCTGGGGAGGCATCGGGCGACGGCGGAGCAACCGTGGGGTGAGTAGTTAAATTGTTATTCGTCTATTACTTTGCTGTCCTGTCAGTCCTGTCAGTCCTGTCAGTCCTGTGACGGAATATCCGCCACTTTCTCAAGTGCGCAACTTTTGATTCGTCCATCACATGATATTCGTTAATTAGATAATATTATCTTGGACACCTACTTTAATGTAAAAATATTGTTATGTTACAGATCAACGCAGGGTTACAACTTACAACTCCGCTGTTGCGCATCGGCCGGTCAGTTATTTTTTAGTTTAATGTTTTATTGCGCAAATCAGTTTTTTTCCGGTTCTGGTTTATTAAAATTTTTTAATTTGAAATTTGTATTAAATTAAATTATTTACATATTATCAGCTTTTTATTTAATGATTTACTTTTAATACGTAATTATGATAATAATTGTATCAATAATTATGTGCAAAGCATTAATGGACTTTAATTTAAAATTATAGATCTATTTTTCACATATATTTTGTATTTTGACAATTAGTAGTTTTGAGTAATGAGGAGGGGAGAAAAGTGGCTGACCACTTTTATTTACATAAATTACAAAAATATTTTCTAGGCTCTAGAATCTATCCATTTCCGATCCTATCCTTTTCAATGCAATAGATTATAATATATGCGCAACTTACAGTTTTTTCCGGTTTCGTTGTGTTAAATTTTTCTTGAAATTTTTATTAAATTAAATTATTTACATATGCATACTGCGTGTGCCACTGTAAAGTTGACATTTTATATTTAAAAAAATGATCGTCTGGATGTATCTTCCAGAAGAAACCTTTCCCCAGCTTTTTTTTCTTTATTTTAATGAATTTTGGACTCAATGTCTTCCGTACAGAACCTTGCCAGTAGCAATTGATTCTGCTGATGAGAACGAGTACTTTACTCTTGAGACTAATAGGACTGAGTTCTATTAGGAGCTGTTCGAAGCAGAAGGGATGAATATATTAAGTTTATTTGTATGGTACAAATTAGTACAAATTCAGTCCTTCAAATTTCTGTATTTAATTTTCTTTTTTTTTTGTGGTCTTTCTAGCTTAATGCTAAGGTAGCACCGCCACGATTTTCTCCGAAATGGCACAGGATACAAAATTGTTATTAGTAGTACAAAATAGTACAAAATGGGTACTAAATATTCTGATAGGTCCGGTTTGATTCTGCCGATTTGGTCCTGCTAGCTTAGAAGAGGTAATTAGTTTACCGCACTGCGTGCAAAGGGTTTCTAAACAAAGTTTAGTTTAGATATGATTTAACAACTGACTCGACTCGGCTAGATAATTCATATTACTGCATATAATGCCAATTGTTACGGCGCATCTGCGCGGTATACGACAAGCGTCACAATGCAACAATTAATCTCCCTCTCCTCTTCCCCTCTCTCTCTTTCGCCGAAATGCAGTGTTTTCGCTATGTGACGGTCAACTGCAACGTTTGATAACAGCGTTCAGAAACAATCGGGACGGCATAAGGGTCGTTAATGGAACACGACGTGCGAGATCCGCTATTAGATAGGCGCACATTAGCGACAGCGAAACAATTAAACCCATAGTGACATTAATCGTCTATCACGAATTTACGTGACATAGAAAATTGTGTAATTATGTTATCTTCCGCAATATTATTTGCAAATGTCGCCCGTTAAACCTGTTGTTATCTTCACTGTATATTGGTAATCTTTGTCTCTGTTTACGATAATTACGATAACAGCATAATTTATCTCGGAAATCCATCTCACAATTGATTGAAGTTCGAGCCAATGTAAATTTATGTTTCTCAAAATTTTACAACATTTAACTCTTTATCTGTTATCTATTATTGTGTAAAAATTACAAAAATTTCACTATTTTATATATATTACTACAGCTTTAATTTATTAATTGATATCTATATATTTTGTATTAATGAAAAACAATCAATTCAGTCCATAAGCTAATCGTAAATCAAGGCTTATTATCGAGTGCATCAGCAGAGTCATTAATTAGCCTATTGTTGTGGGTATTGGTTAACCGGACTACTTCGATTTATTGATATTTTTTTTACTGATGATATGTGAACGCGTGCAAATAGCGCGGCAATTATCACCCATGGCATATTAATATCTCGAATTATGCGGTTTCATGTCCAATTAAGCGTTTCTAAAAACCACTTAGCGGATTCTGCGTCTGTGATCGTTCACAACAAATGCAACCGAAGAGTCATCGGTGTTATTGAATTCTACATTATTGCTCTACATAATTAAAACAATCAAAATTAATTTCAAAGATTACAATATAAATTTCTTTGTGTAACGATAATAAGTATGCTGCGAATAAAGTTTGTTGAACATCGATTTCAACCGAAACGTCAACTAAAGAGTTCTCTCAGAACAGATACGACCTGAATACATTTATATCAAAATCGTGTATTTTTGACGCAAGTTAAATCGTAAAAAGCAACAATCTACACAAAACGCCGAATTCTGATAACAATTGCTTCACACGTAGCGCCGGTCCGCGCATGTTCAGAGAATACAATACGATAATCTAAACTGTGCCGGACGTATAAAAGCGGATTGATTAAAATGCAAACGTGTGTGACATATCTTGAAAGAATCTCCGACAGTTATTTTTATTGCCAAGAAATTATATGGGATAATATCTTTATCAAAAACATTAGTGTTTCCTGAAATAGAATTATGAGTGACGCAAAATGCGTTCTTATCGCGTGATGATAATAAAAGCGTTCCATGATATAGTCTTATGAAATTGTTCTCTGAGCCTGCAGCTTCCGATAGTTAATTATCTTGTTCGACGATAAGTTTAATAAATGGAGATTGTACTCCGGATAGAATGAGCAATAAAATCAAGCTGAAAAATATTTCTCTCCCTGTAACCTGAGAAAGTAGTTTGCTTCTACGTCTGAACTTCCTCTCTTTTTCTGTCAATGATATACAACTATATATTAATTTTACGACGGCAATTCTCAACTTTCACTTATTGTTAGCCCGATTCTATTTCCATCGTCTAAGGTTACTCGTATCATCGAACGGGTTTCTGACTCGATTCCATGCAACAGAGAGCATATCACCTTGCGAAGCGATGAAGCGAAGGGATGAAGAGAGATAAATTGAGAAGAATGACTTTAAGTTTCATCGGCAATAAAATAAGGCTGGATCTAATGAGAAATCTTTTACGAAAGTTAAATTGACTTATCGAAGGAATCGCGACGAAAGTGTATCGAATTAAATTCCGCGCGAAATGCTGCTGACAGACGCAAATTTAGTAT